GAGAGAGAGAGAGAGAGAGAGAGAGAGAGAGAGAGAGAAAGATTACAGGTGACACGAGACATACAGTCACTTAGTTTGTGTTATAAAAAAAAGCGCTTGTAGAACGCGCTCTTAATCCCGTAGACTCCGCTGGATGTCTTGAAACTATTGAAAACACACAAAATCACTTTTGAAAAGTTTCATTACAATTTATCAAAAAGAAAAGAAATAATGAAAATTATTGTGACGCCTCGTTCTCCGGATGAGCGAGTGGCATCTCTTCTTCTCTAACCTGCCGTAAATGTATTAGTATAGGGCTCATCTATCATATGTAAAATCCGGTTTTACAATATCGTATGATAGATATTGCATTGACGGCAGATTGGGGATAACCACGTTTGTTAATTCGACCAAAGTGTAATACTGTAATACTTGCTGTTGCTGTAAAGGATAGATGAATAATAAGCCATGAACAATCTACGTATAATAAAAATGGATGTATGTGCTATAAGAAGATACATCAAATTGTTGTTTTCATCAATTTTCTTTTTTTATTGCCTCATCAAACTTTTTTATATTTTATTCATTAGTGATAAGTGATAATTGACTTATGGAAATATATAGGTATATATAATATATTCAACGTGCGTTAAAAAAAATATAAACACTCAGTCAATACAATGTATTATCTCTGTTGAGGTACGTAGTGCACTATATTTTCTCAGTTCTCAAGTCAAGACGCGTTATTTTCCATTTTTTTCTTTTTATTCTTAATGTTCTCTTTTCTTTTTATATTCTTAATAAGTCATCGTCACTGTCGGATTGACAGCACGTGTCCGGAGCGTCTAGCAATAAATTTGCTTCTTCGACACTATTCACCTGAAATCAATCATTATCACAAAAAATAAACACCCAAAAATACATAGTTTTTCTTTTTCGTTTTCATAATCCAACTAACAAAATTCATAAGCAATACAATACAAAACAAAACATCTAGTCATTCTCTTCATATTATCAATGAAAAAGAGAGAAATTATAGTAAATTGAAATGTAATTTGATACATTGATGAAAAAACTTATAAATAATAAGCACCAGCCAGATTTTTCATAAAAACCAAACTCCATCTTTTTGAAGCGAAAAATAGAAAAAAATAAATGATAATCATAATCTACCACTAAAAGTAATACTTGAGAAACTCCAATTTTTCTTTCGTTCACAACTCCTGAAAATAAAAGCAAACCATACGAACATTTAAATATGTACAGAAAAACTTGCGGTAATTAAAAATTAATAAAAATCATAAATCTAGAGGCATGTCAAGTACAAACAAACACATGATAAGTGAGTGAGTTTTAAACAGAAAAGGGATTGATGCTACAGAAAAATTGATTATTATACCTGAGAATATGCCATTCGAGCTGGTGTTCTACGAAAAAAGAATGAGCTGCACGAAGTATATATGTTTGCTCTGCGAATGGGATTTGCAAGATAAATCCCACAGATGAGGGCCAAGACAATAAAAATTACCACCAATACGATTATTCCAGTACCTGAAAATAAATATTATACATTAAAAAGGAAATGTTTCTTCGCAATAATAGTCAAGTCCGAAAATTTCCTTCATCTCGTTTGGCTGTTGATCTCACCGTGTGAAGCAATACTCTTCTCCTCAACCAATGGACCAGTCGTTTCAGTTGTGTGATTAGTGGTAGGTTTATCAAGAAAATTCCGGTTGTTGGTGTTCAGCGTTGACTGCGATGTTGTCGTAAAAGTCACATTGTTCTTTTCATGAGAGCAAGCTGATGTGTGTGAGTCGCATGCAGTAATATTCTGAAAAATTCAACATTTTCTTTGTTTCAAGAGATGAAAAATAAATTCAATATACATGCGTCAACTCGAGGACTTCATATCAATAATACATTACCAATGTGATAATCAATATTTAATAGCTTATTAATAAGTGAAACCTTAAAAATGTATTTCATGGAATTCTCTTTTTAAACGTAGAAATCCCATGAAATTGGTTATTCGCCCCAATAATAACAATATTTCTTCGTCCAATTGCCGCATTTCATTAAACTAACCGTACTAGAATAGTATACTTATTTCCTGCTCCTCCGAGATCCGTTAAGACTAAGGAGTCTGAGATCGTCAGAGATGAACAGATGTTCCGTACATACGGGGATTTTTTTTCTTTCAAAGCTATTCATTGCTAACATCAAAATCCATTACAAGATCATTCTACAGAAAAAAAAAAAATCTCAAGTTGCATTAAAAATGGAATCATCACTATTTAAGCTGTTTAGATTGTTATACATAATTTTCAAGAGAATTTCCAACTGTTAAAATCATATATTATTAGACATTTTTCCCGTGTTCAACGATTCAACGTAATCTCGTTTGTACGTGTATATATTGCTCTCCATGTGGGCACTAGATTTTCCAGATGGGACGCAAAGAAAATTTTTATCCTGCTTTGAATAAGGAAACGTTTTCCTTGATGAACAAATAAATGGAAATAGAAAGCCAAGTGACAGTGCTCCCAACACACGAGACGGTTGGAGTTTTTCAAAGATGTCTGGCAGGACGTGAAATCTCGACTAGGTTCCTCTGGAAAATATCATACATACTTTGACCGACATTATCTGTTCAGTAGTTTCTCCAAGAGGATTCCTCTCTCATTGAGACTTTATTGTTCTGGAGAATATCATTGAAACAAAATTCAAAGAATCCTATAGTACCCCACAGCTAATAGATATCTATTCAAATTTAAATGAAAAAGAATTGGAAATAATTCATTTATAGGTGCAAGCAATTAATATTATGGCGGAATATTTAATTCCAATCATAAATTTGGGCTTTGTGAGGAATAAAAATACCCATTATACATCCGAATGTCTCTGTTTTGACTGCATATAAATTTTAAACAGTTCTCTCTCTCTCTCTCTCTCTCTCCCCCCCCCCCCNACTAGGTTCCTCTGGAAAATATCATACATACTTTGACCGACATTATCTGTTCAGTAGTTTCTCCAAGAGGATTCCTCTCTCATTGAGACTTTATTGTTCTGGAGAATATCATTGAAACAAAATTCAAAGAATCCTATAGTACCCCACAGCTAATAGATATCTATTCAAATTTAAATGAAAAAGAATTGGAAATAATTCATTTATAGGTGCAAGCAATTAATATTATGGCGGAATATTTAATTCCAATCATAAATTTGGGCTTTGTGAGGAATAAAAATACCCATTATACATCCGAATGTCTCTGTTTTGACTGCATATAAATTTTAAACAGTTCTCTCTCTCTCTCCCCCCCCCCCCTTCGTGGAACTACCAGAGGGGGGAAATCGCTATGTACATAGCAGAGGCCAACATTTTTCAGATCTGTTCAGTTGTGTGTGCAGGCACCACTGGGGCACACTGGGGCCTGTATCGCTATTACGCACTAGTTTACTTGTACCATGTTCATTTCACGTTTTTGGATAAAAATGTGTGTCGTTCAAACGAGACGATAAAAAACCAAGTGTACTTGTTGTATTCTGTTAGCAAGTAAACTTATCTGACAAGTATTAGCAGAAAGTGACGAGAGTGCACAAGTTGGTGAGTAATTCTTTTCCATATGCATGATTATTTGGATATGGTCATATCATAGTAATAATACTGATAAAAATATCTGGTAGCTATGTGTGAAAAACTGGCATTGGATTTGACTCCAAACAGTGAATTTTCCGCAATGTTATCACGAGTCATGACATCATTCACACACACACACAGTAATAATGAAGAATGAAGAAACAACAATGTGAGGTTTACACCCAGGTTTTCGATTATAAAAGTTGTCAACTTTTATCTTAATATTAAAAAATTAACAACGATAACATCTACCAATCAATTAATTAATGTATATGTTTATTTTTACAAGTATAAAAAAAAAAGGTATGCTTAGCTTTCGAAATGGAAAGAAATAGACGTATTACGAGAAGGAAGATAATGCTTAGGAATATGTAGTTCCGTTTTCGCATATATACGTGGAACGTGGATTGTTTGCGTCGTGCATGATTAAAACGCCGGTTAAAGAATCGGCGATTACATATGATTAAAAAGAAAATAAAAAATATTTATCCCATCATATGCTCGTGAGCCAATTTGGGAATAGTCTGGGTATTGAAATTTTAAATATTCGACTAATAGTATAAGGAAAACAGTGGACATTGGGACGTGTCAAACACATTTACTACGTGTTGGAGGAAAGTTGTTGGATGGAACGGTTGTCCTTGGGCTGTTAACTCTTGGAAGATGACTGATTGTACATCATAAAAACAACATGATCTAATGAAGAATTTCAGGTTTTCATAATTAATTTAAATATTGCTAGCAAGATAATGGTGGAAATTTTTGCGTTTAAGTAACCCGCTCAAGGGAATTATACAGAGAATTCCATCTATAAATCCAAGTAGGTTGACACCTATTATGATAATACTGATAATATTGGAATAATAAGTAATAAGTCATGAGTAAATGACTTTCGCAATTTGAAAAAGTCCCTTGAAACTGTTGCCCATTCAATCAAATTTATTATAATAAAAAAAAAAACAAAAAAACAAAAAGTATAAGAAATTTGAAATACTCGGTAGGCTTAGATTTTGAAAATAACTGCCATCAGGGACATGATGTATAGTAGAAAGAAGAATTGTCCCCATTTGTAGAATTCTATCTTCATCTTCTTATTGTTGTTATTTTCAAGAATAATCTTGACGTTGACCGACAGCTGTGAGCCCCCATCATCGGGCTAATCTCCTGCCTAGCAATGGAATCAATGAACCATATCATCCCGATAGAATAGAGTTTTTTTGGGGAGGCGAGTTTGTTAAATTTTCCTTCTCGATCCTTAATCCCTGCATTTTTTCGAGTTCATTCCGAGAATACACTGCAACTGATCTATTTATCTATCGTTTGCAGCTGACGACTAGTTTTTATACGGAGCCATCATCATCATGTACAAACTGCTGTGGTTATTGGTTTTTATTGTCATCTCTTGTACTTTTGCCGCACAATGTCCACAAGGTAGTGGCTGTGGGGACTGCCAACATCTCCCTGACGACGAGTACGAGATTCGCTGTTCAACGAGTGCATCAGATTCCATGTTTATTGTCAATTACAGACCGCACTCTTGGCTAAAAATTGACTGTTACAATTTGCCAAATTGGTCAGAGTTTAATCTTGGCAGAGAACAGCAAATTCAAGATGTCCAGGCTATTTCATTTAGGACATGTCAATTGCCAGAAAAGGGAAAACTTGGGAGCATCGCTAGACAAATCATTGCAAATAACATTACCGAATTGAATTTGCAATTGAATGATAATTTATCATTGACTCTCAGTAGAGAAACATTAGCGGAATTCAAGAGCTTGAAATCTTTGATACTTTCTAGAAATAAATTGAAAAATGTCACTGCTGATTTGTTACATGATTTGGAAAATTTAACTCTTCTCAATCTTCGTGAGAATGATCTCCATGAATTGCCTTCAGAATTTCTCAACATGCCTCATCTCGAATCAATTGAATTAGGAAGCAATAAATTGGAAATTATTGAGCCAACAATGTTTGAAAAGTTGACGAAACTGAAGCTCTTGAATTTATGGAATAATAAAATTATTGATATAAAGCCCCACAGTTTTGACAAACTCAAGTCCCTAAAGTCCATTGATATGCATACAAACAATCTGCAAACACTGCCGGAGGATATTTTCGCCCCGTTGGAGAATCTCATGGTGATCAACTTGTCGCAAAATAATTTTAGTGCTAATTCATTGCCAGAAAAACTTTTAAGGAACAATAGTCTCCTACGGACAATTCTTTTCTTCGAGAATAAACAAAATTTAACAACTCTTCCTTCCAAGTTTTTGGCTGAATTACCCCAACTCACGAGTGTCAACATACGAAGAAATAAGTTGGTATATTTGCCCCATGATTTATTCACGGGTAGTATCAACTTGAGGAATATCAGTATGGAATGGAATTATATAGAAAAACTTCCACGATATATTTTTAATGATTGTAAGGATCTTTTTTCCATCAATCTTGCTTACAATGAGCTCAGTGACTTGCCAAATGGAGTATTCTCGGCGCTTCATAAGTTGGAGAAGCTTGATATATCAAGGAATCACATAACTGTGATAAAGGCGTAAGTTTAGAAAAATAAAAAAAAAGTTTTTCATTTCATTTCATTCAATTATGAATTTTTCACATTAATCACTAATATCATTATGAAAACGTGGAAAAAGAAATAAAATATTCTTTACATGCAGAAATTTATTCGATGGCTTATCATCACTCAAAGTCCTGAACATTGAACGAAATGGATTAAAAATTATTGATCCACATGGGCTGCGTCCTCTCCAAAATCTTCGAATTGCCAAATTTTCCTCCAATCAACTGACTTTAAAAGCAAACACAAGCAGATGGTTCGCGGGTGATCGTTCAACATCTCCATTCTACCCTTGTACGAGAATCGAAGAGTTACATTTGGCAAATAACAACATTTCAGATATTTTCTTCGATTGGGCTACAGCCTCTCATCTAAGGACTTTGGATCTTCAATACAATAGCCTCAAGTTTATACATGTAAGTGATTAATTAAAATGCTTGTTGTTGTTGTTTGTAATTGTAATTTTTCAATTACAGGCACAGGATATATTTTTCTTATCAGAAAATCTCTACGTAGATTTATCTTTCAATAATATTGAAATGATATCATTAACATACGCCGAAGCTTTTGCCACACCTCGAGAATACTCAAAAAACGTCATTGTGTCAGTGGAAAATAATCCAATTAATTGTGACTGCGATCTCTATGATCTTCTGCGTTATCGTGAAGGAGATATGCATCCCAATGTTGAGAATAATGTGCACCTGAAGATGAAGAATTTGAAATGTCAAAAGCCAAGTTGGCTGATGAATATTCCTGTCGAAGATTTAAGATCAAAATCATTGAAATGCTTAGTCGAAAATGCCACAATTTACAATGCCACCTGTCCACCTAGATGCGATTGTTGGCTGCAACCTAATGAGCGAGCATATTTAATAGATTGCTCCTATAGGAATATAATGAAGACACCTGAATTTGTAAAGGCTCCCCGAGGACTGGCAATTGAACTTAATTTCACCGGTAATGCTCTGAAAAAAATGCCCTCTATGAAAAAACCTGGATACAATGCAGTTAGAGTATTGTCTCTTTCCAAAAACCAAATAACTCAAGTACCACTGGATGCACTCTCACAAAATCTAACATTATTGGCCTTAGATTCCAATAATTTAACGAGATTAGAGACAAATGTAATAAACTTTTTGAATAATTCAACACAATTGAGAAATCTCACACTTGAGAGGAATCCCTGGGTCTGTAATTGTGACGCAAGGGAATTTCTTAGTTTCATACAAATGAAGAAAGTTGAAATTCCAGAACTGCAACAAGTGAAGTGTCAATTATTTAATAAGCCCATCTTCGAAATGACGCCTGAAGAAATGTGTCCATTAGCAATTGTTGGAATCATCGGTGTCTGCATTGTTATCGCATTATTGGGAATGATAATAGGAATAATTGCAGCATTATATTATCGCTTTCAGCAGGAAATAAAAGTCTGGCTTTATGCTAAACAGTGGTGTTTGTGGCTAGTCACTGAGGATGAATTGGATAAGGATAAATTGTACGACGCCTTCATCAGCTATTCCCACAAAGACGAAGAATTTGTCGTTAAAAGTTTGATAGAAAAATTAGAGGAGGGACCGAAACCTTTCAAGTTATGTGTTCATTTTCGGGATTGGCTGGCTGGGGAATGGATACCAAATCAGATTGCTCGCTCTGTTGAAGACTCGAGACGTACTATTGTTGTCCTCTCACCCAATTTTTTGGAAAGCATATGGGGAAAAATGGAATTCAGAACAGCCCATAATCAAGCTTTGAGCGAAGGACGAGCTAGAGTAATTATTATTCTTTATGGAGACATTGGACCCGTAGAGCAGCTCGATCCAGAACTCAAAGCATACTTGACCATGAATACTTATGTCAAATGGGGCGATCCATGGTTCTGGGAGAAATTAAAGTATGCACTTCCACATCCTCAAGATTTTGTTAAAAGAAAGCGGAGACAAACTCTATTTAAAAACCAGCATCCAATAATCCTTATTGCCAATGATAAAAGTGGATTGATTGAGAATTCCAATTCGAATAATGCCGCAATATCAACTGCTCAATCTACCCCACCTGCGGATACACTCAAGACTTTCATCAATACCAATAATGAAACCAACGAATCTCTGACCAAACAAGATCAACAAATCAAGGTTAATGATAATGCAAACATTAGAAGAAATTGTGATTCAGTGAAGATGAACGAAAATATTGACAAGATTCAATGTACAACAGTGTAATTCAATTTCGTATTTTCATTTCATTTCTCATTTTTTAAATTTTCTTTATAATTCGCCATGAGGAAGTATGAAAAGCATGACAATAATTCGACCTTCACCAGTGTAAGAATATTGAATAATTTTATTAATTACAAGACTGAGATGGGTTGCTGGAGGAAGAAGAGTATTTATCAATGTTGTAAATTTCCCAGGGTAACATTGACCACGAATATTTCAAATTATTTTTCATGTGATTTTATACAATGAATTTTGAAAAAAAAACAAAAAAAAACAAAAATAAAAAATAAATAAATAAACTTACTTTGGTTTGACATACGAGGGGCGTGGGCCACTGGATTTTTAAGTAACATGCTTCATCAATCATCATCTTTGGATTATCCTTTTCTTTTTCTTCTGAGCAGATAAATTCTATGATTGTATAATGTCGTTTTCCATTTTCACATAGTGAACCATTGGTATAATTGAGATATGGCCCCATTGGAGACCATAAAAGTTGAGAATTAGCATTCCCCTCTGTATTACGATTCGGTGATCGACAAACTCCTGGAACATATAAATTAGTCCATTTAAAAACATATAGAAAATAGATTGATAAAAAATAATTGATTTGTGGTAATGCAGAAACTTTCAATTTATCTTACCTGCATTAGCTTCGCAAGCTTTATTCATTAAAGGTCCACAAATACTTAATTTATAAGATCCGTTAGAAATTGGAATTATGTACTCTTGGCCTTTGAGACTCTCCAAATCATACCTCAAATCGAAGTGATAAAATTTAAATCAATCCTTTTTTATTTTGTCAGAAGAATATTTAAAAAAGAAAAAAAAATACAATTACTGGAAATTAGTTACTGGATCGCGGACTTTACATGGGCTAGCAGTATTTAAACTGTATTCCTCCAGTTGTTTATCACTGCATGCTGCAGCAGTCTTCCAAAGCAGTTTATAATGGCAGCCAGTGGAGCTTGTTAAAACTGGATGAGTATTCTGTATACAAACAGAAACGACAATAAACTGAAATTTCATTTTAAAAAAAAAATCTTTCGAAAGGAGAAACTTACATGTGATTTAAAATCACATATAAAGAAAATTGTTGTTTGAGAATGTTCGGCGCTACCATCAGCGCACATTACCCCCATATCATAGTGCAGAGCAATGGTACCATTGATCAATTGCAGTGGCTGTACATCTCCAAGGTTTGAATAGCTGTAAAGAGTAATCAATTTGATGAGGCTAACATTCTTCTGCTCATTTGAAATTATACATTTATATACCTCCAAATAGAAGTACTGGTGTTTCTCAAACAGGCCCCTGAATTGGATGGGCAGACAGCCCCATATCCAGGAATTATTGAATGGCATACATTCAAAATAATAAAGCTCGTATTAGTTGTAGCGTTTATCACATAATTGTTCATTTGACTCCTTAATCTATTCAGATCCACAACATCTCCTGCTTCATTATTAATGGTACAATTGACGGATTTCGGTGGTAATCCACCGCATGCCAATTTATTTTTCCACATAATGAATACGTCACACTGTGTTTTTTCCTATACAAAAGATAGAATAATCACAAGCGTGTATTTAACATGTTTACATCAAGCATGGGAGAGTGGAAGTGAAAATATTGTCATATTGGATGGATCACATCTCATTTTTAACAATACATTGCAAAACATTTGAAACTTGTAATCTGGCGTTGTTAAGTTCCTGACCATGCATCAAGAACGATTCGTTTATTCATCCCACTCTCCCCTAATAATTGATAAATTAATTGCCATTTTAAATATTTACATAAGGAAAAAGATAAGGTTTCTCATCGGTTCCCGAATAATCACATTGCATGATAACTTTGAGAGTATATCGTTTATCATCCTGGCATGGATCACCACTGAATCGAAAAATGATGCTGCCATTCTCACTTGTCACTATTGGTGGATATGTTCCTGATGGAAAAAAAATTGTCACGATGAATAATTGAAAATCATTGACAATAAATAAACCAACTGCGGCAAAAATACTGTCAATTAACCTATGGAAATATGCTCTCTTCCGTATTCCAAGCAAGCTGCCGACGTTCCACCGTCATTCCATTCATCATGGAGTTCATGGCAGAGTTGGAATTTTACACTCTCGTTTGTTCCATCATTTCTAAGAACATAATCTTCGGACGGAAGTATCAACGTTGTGAAATCAAATATTGTTCCTGTCGATGGATGTCGAAATTTGCAAGGATTTTGTGTCGGCTTTAAAAATAAAAATGTGAATATCAACTATTATTGTATTATAAATAAAATGAAACAAGCCAAATAGAATATTACTTTCTATGAGAACTGTAGAAAGAAAAAGAAAGAAAAAAAAAGAAAAAAACACGAGTATAAGTCGCGGCGCAATTCATTCAATATCACGGTAATGAACGAGGAAAATTGAGTTGATAATCAATATGAAGAAGAAAATATAGCCATTATTACCACGCATTCTCCAGTTATTGAAAACGATGACGTTAAAAATGCCACTAAAATTAATTGATACATTTTTGATGAGCCAGATAGTTTTATAAACAATACAGAACATCAATACTGCCGGCTTATCACATCGAAAGCAACGTTATTCCACTCCCTTCGTCGACTACTCGGATTATTGCTTGTGTGTATAGGCCGTAGTCTGCCGTACCTAGGCGACAGTCGAAGTCGAATGCGTTGCGGTTAGAGTATTTCAATGTCGGTTGCACCAATGGGATTCTTTGAATTTGCCGCTGAAAAACTTGACAACATTGCTGTTCAAATCGAGGTAAGAGAACACAGATCCGATCAATTAGCCCCTCATGTATAGATATTCCAAATTTTTCAATTTTTTTCCTCATTGAAGTAATTTTGAAGAAAATTGCGAGCTAATAAAAAACATTTGCTAGTTAGTCCTTTTTTTAAAATAAATTTTTGAAAAATCAACCCTGAAAAAAAAAGGCGTTATCCCCCCTATTTCATTATTTCCAAAAAATTTTATCACCAATCGATAGCAAATTGTTTGAAGATTTTTGCGGGTTAAGAAAAAATCGTCAATGCAATCCTATTATTGTGTAACTTAACAATTCCAATTGCAACTGAAAACCAGAGTTGATGACCAGAGTTTGTAACAGAGATGTCAGACAAGATATGAATATTTTTTTGGGCTCAAACAAAAGAGCGGGTCAAGAAATGGCGTGCTAGGACCTCTAAAGATGGTTTTGAACCAGGGGAGACCCCTAGACCCCACTGGACAATGTTGTCACAATTGCGCTTTTCAACTGAAAACAGACATCATCTTTAGAGACATTTGTCATCTTTAAAGACTTCTGCACGCCATTTTTCGAGCCGCTCTTTCATTTGAGCCAAAAAAAACATTCATATCTTNGACAATGTTGTCACAATTGCGCTTTTCAACTGAAAACAGACATCATCTTCAGAGACATTTGTCATCTTTAAAGACTTCTGCACGCCATTTTTCGAGCCGCTCTTTCATTTGAGCCAAAAAAAACATTCATAAAATTTTTTGGAAATAATGAAATAAGGTGGATAACGCCTTTTTTTTCAGGGGTGATTTTTCAAAAATTTATTTAAAAAAAAGTACTAACTAGCAAATGTTTTTTATTAGCTCNTTTTGGAAATAATGAAATAAGGTGGATAACGCCTTTTTTTTCAGGGGTGATTTTTCAAAAATTTATTTAAAAAAAAAGTACTAACTATCAAATGTTTTTTATTAGTTCGCAATTTTCTCCAAAACTACTTCAATGAGGAAAAAAATAAAAATTTGGAATATCTATACATGAGGGGCTAATTGATCGGATCTGTAAGTGAACACGTTGCCAAGTTTTCAAAAAGAGGTCGTTAGCTACCGCGTCGGTTAACTGTTCCGCCGCGAGGCGCGGGGGGTGGGGCGGAGTTGGGCTAGCGTCACTTCCGAGAGAGTAGTCGATCACCATCATTGCTAAGCAGTCGCCATTTTCCCGACAAATTTGTGTGATGCGAGTTTGTGCTTGTCTCAATAATCAGCATTTTTACTATTCTACTATACGTTTGCTCTCATCATTTAAAGTATAATAAAATAATCGAAAAAAGCTTGGGCAGTGAATTTGTATCTTTCGAGCAACGGTAAGTCAATGCATTGATTATATTCAATGATGAATGTAACTGAATTAACACAATGTGGGAAATTGATTTTTATGGTTAGCGTCCACTGGGAAGATGAAAAAAAAAAAAAATACATATATATTGACGTGAAGAATTTCATGGCTTTGAAAAGTGTTTGTCATTACTTATTCACACTTTGCAGTAGTTAAGAGTGAATTAGTAAAACAAGATGAGTGGATTACTATGAAACTTGGGTTTTTCCTGAATATCCCCCGGAATCCAATGGCGATGGCGTGATCAAATTTGCACGTTCAAGTTTATTTTTAAAAAAATGTTATATTACATTGCCATATATCTTGAGTTTTCATAATTGATAAAACTACTTTTTCTGTTTATTTAGATATTACAAGTTTTCGAGATGTCCAATGGCAGTGGTGATCATGATGATGAGGGGGGATATGTCGTGAAATTGCGCGGCTTACCCTGGTCAACAACGGTTGATGAGATTCTCAAGTTCTTCAGTGATTGTCGTATATGTCATGGAAAAGCTGGTATTCACATGACTATGTCTCGGGAGGGAAGACCCAGTGGTGAGGCGTACATTGAAATGGAGAGCGGGGAGGACATTGAAAAAGCTTGTAAACGTGACAGGGATCATATGGGACACCGTTATATCGAAGGTAATATGACATATTTAAATGTGGATAGTTTGTTTCACTCACTTATTCTCTCTTTCTCTCCTCTCTCTCTCTCTCTCTCTCCCTCTGTCTACTTCTTTTTTTTCAGTCTTTAAAGCTAAAAGAAGTGAAATGGACTGGGTCGTCAAGAGAAGTGGCTTAAATCTCGAAAATGTTATGGATGATGGCTGCGTTCGACTACGTGGCTTACCATTTGGATGCTCCAAAGAAGAAATTGCGCAGTTCTTCTCAGGTATGAAGAACATTTGTATCTTTTGGAGTCTTATTGTTTTCTTATTTTCTTTCTTCTATGCAGCCTCCGTATCCATTTAATATATTAGAGTGGGGTCACCAACTTGTTCCGAATGAATAATTTTCAAACACCTTAAACTTTGCTGCTTTCATATTTTATCTCATACGAACGAACAGTGTTACAACACTAGTTTTCTCATTACATTAATGAGTTTTTATGGCAATTTGTCCAATGGCATGTTCATCGACTGGTTATCATCGATTTTCTCATTAAAGTTATTTCTAGTGCGAAGAATATAATGCATAAAGATGAAACAATAATATTAATAATAAATTAACAAAAAAAATTGCTTCCAAGAGAAAGCAATGCAAATGGTGTTTATTTATATTTTAATAATTCCCATGATGGGTTGTTTTATTTCTAATGAAAATTAATTGCAGCTGTAATGTTTTCTTAATGGGTAACTATTTCGCTACAATATGGATGTTTGATTATGTGTGGGTCAGGGTTGGAGATATTGCCGAACGGGATTTCGCTACCAACAGACTTCACGGGCCGCAGTACTGGGGAGGCTTACGTTCAATTTGTTAACAAAGATGTCGCGGAGCGCGCTCTACAGAAACACAAGGAAAAGATAGGACACAGGTGGGGCACTGATGCTAGAATGGGTTTGGGCATTATTTATTATGATTTATCAATGATGAAATTAAGAAAAAAATCTAAATTATTTGGTATATTTAAAGAAAAGAAATTTTAATTTTTTTCGAATATTATATTTTGCTGGTACAGGTAGGCATTTGAATATTGCCATCTTATAATAGTGGGTTTTATCAATTGCTGTTCAAATTGACTCACAATTATTCATTAAACTTTTCTATTTTATTGGAAAGTAGTGAAGAAGAAATTTTTATTGTTAATAATAACAATAAAATTGAAGTTAAGTGCGAATTTGTAAGGGAAAAATTTGTTAAATAAAAGAAAGAAAAAAGTACTGTTGGCCCGACTTGATACCTCTGGGTGGGTGCCGGGCGGGAGGTACGTACCCCCCTTACATCGTCACCGAATCCCATGGAAGGCGGGTTGGGCTATTCGGATACATTTCTCCTCATGGATTTGGGTGGGCACTGCAGAGCTAGTAAGCCACTATAATATCCAATATTTATTAATGAAAATATGGAAAACAGAGAAGACATATGAGTAATATGGTATTATTGTCAATAAAACAGAAAATTCTCATATATTCCCAATGAAGTTACCCACTCAAAATTGATGATTAATGATTGACTTGAATCGTCAAATAATGATGCTGAAATTTTCAGTGTTTCACCACTGTTTTCAAATATAATAACTCAAGATTTATCATTTCAATGCGAAAAATAATCGTAATGTATACGTGAAAAAATTGATCCGTTCGATTTTCCCATTAATAAAAGCATGAATTAATATGAATTAATGTCAACAGATATATTGAAATATTCCGGAGCAGTTTGTCCGAGGTACGTGCGAGCATTGGTCCAAAAATGCGAGGTGGTCCGATGAGCGGTGGATATAATCAGAGGCCTGCACCTTATGACCAGAGAGATCGATTTGGCGGTATGAATCGCTTCAATAATAATGGAAGAACTGGAAGAAATCGCGGAGGTACGTAATTTCGGCTACTCTAGCTATATCTTGTAGCAACTGTATTGAGATAGAATCCAGAATCTTTCACTTTTGTTCAGATTTCGATGGTGGTCCATGGGGAAGCTCAAACAATTATGGATCCCGAGGGGCTGGAGGAATGGGCATTAGAGGAGGGATGGAGATGAAAGGTTCTAATTACCGTACTGGCGGCGGCGGCGGTGGTGGTGGTGTTGGTGGTGGTGGTGGTGGTGCTGGCGGCGTTGGCGTTGCTGGTGGTGTTGGTAGTGGAGGCGGTGATAACTGGAGTGGAAGCGCGGGTATTCACTGTATACACATGCGTGGACTACCTTTTAGAGCAACTGAACAGGATATTGCAGACGTAAGTCTACTTCATTTTTATCCTATTATTTAATCATCTCCTCTCATGAAAACTATTTAATTCCATAAAATTTCCATTCAGTTTTTTAGACCAGTTGCCCCAGTCAATATCAGAATTATTCTTGAGAACAATGGACGAGCATCTGGAGAAGCTGATGTTGAATTCGCTACTCATGAAGAAGCTGTCAAAGCCATGTCTAAGGTTCGTTATTTGCATAATAATAGTAATGTTATAAAATAATAATAATAATAGTAATTTTATTTTATTTTTAAAATCAATTGGTCTTTGTGCATTTACTTTCAGGATAAGAGTCACATGTCTCACAGATACATTGAACTATTCCTCAACTCATCGGGTTCATCTGGCGGTGGAGGTGGTGGTATGTCCCTGGGAGGAATTGGCAACTTCTGCGGTGGTTTAGCCAACAACTTCAGGCCTGGATACTCTCCCAATAATCGAGGCTATAACAGCCAACTGGGTGGTAATAATTATAACAGTTTCTGAGATGCAACTCAATCCGCTAATCGTCATCGTCGTTAAAATAATTGGACGAAAGCAATTGATAAATGAAAACAACAAAAAAAAGGTGTTTTTTTTTTTTTCACTTTCAAATAATTGGCAATGATAATGAATGGAACGATAATTAATTCAATTTAATCCATTGTTATCTAAGGGGAGAATTATTGAATAGAGCAAAAGTACTGATAACTTTCCACAATTAACATTGGAGTGCATTGAATATTAGATAATTAAGATTAATGTATTTCTCATCATATGAATGGAAACAAGAGTGACAACAGTACGTCCACGTATGCTCGAAATGAGCATATTATTTTCTATCACGATAGAAATATATGAATTTTCATCATTCTTTTCTTTTTCAAAATGACAAATGGAAATAAAGCTGAAATGAAAATGATGATTTTGTAGTTGAACCGCAAGTAATTGGCTTGAGTAGTTTGTCTCTTTTTTTTTTTTTATATAATAATAAACATTTATATCGAAATATTGTCAGGCTTGTAAAAGCATAATGACATTTTTTAAATGTCATTCACTCATTCGTACGTAATTGACTCAAGACTAAAATAAATCTGCAAACATTTAAATTCAAATAAATAAAAACACTATTGAGGGAAATTTTGCGAATATTATTACATGATGATTGTCGAGTGAATTATTCCCCCTCTCCCTTTTTCTTGTGTGTAAAGTGCCAATTTCGTGCGGAATTCACAATATATTCTAAGGCATATTGACTCTTTTCAATTATAAATGCTTTGAAATCTACTGGAAGAAGGCAATAATATTTTTTCATCAATATGAAGATTTTATTCAGTCGCATCGCGTCGTCTCTACTAGTTGTTGCACTACTAATAATTAAATGAGAAATATTTGACTTTCGAGAACATAAAAGAACAGCAAAAAAAACTTGTACATGATATCCAATTTTCCTTGTGTCAATTGTAATTTTCAAGATAAAACAAGAAACGTGATAATAAAGTAACTACAAAGAGTAAGGAACTGAGTAATTGACTACATTCCATTCTTGAAATGACTGATTAAGTAATGATAGATAAATTGGCTATGAAGGTATTCGAGTTATTTTTAATTTTTGATTTTTTCAAAGAAGAGAGAGCTGCCGCCCCCAAACACATACACATAGTCGAAAAGTAAAAGGGAGTAAATATGAAAAAATATATAAAATAAAGACATAGTCATAGACTTGATGATATGAGTAATGCATTAGTGTGGTGTAGTATGGAATCCAATGGCATAACGGTTGGATGGCTCTCACTCTCTGCTACACAGAACTCATCAAGTCTTATTAACTGATACAAGCTGTCACTCAAAGAAAATAGTAAAAATAACATAACCTATGAATGTAGTAGTGCGATTAACAAGACCTGAGTATATAATTCAAGCTGATAACAAGTATTTTAGATGCATACAAGTATTGCTAGCCTATATCTTGTCTGCCTAATTGTGAACATGGTCTCTTGATTGTGAACGCTGAGTGATAAGAGAACAATTGAAAAGCTCTTACCGTATCAACAATATTGTCAGTATCGTGTCAACTGTTATAGCACTTGGAGGGATTGAATTGGATTTGAATTTGTCGCGGTGAGTGTACAAGCGCTTAATATTCATTAGTCGGATATATTGCATTGTGAGTCATCATCGATAAAGAATTAAGTGATATGATATGAAATTCATAATAATTGATATCGTGGTATTGAGCAAAATGAAATGAAATGAAATGAAAAAGTTTGAATAATCAATCAACATGACAAAAAAAATGAAGTCTGACGAGTTCGAGAAGAAAGATGATTTGTTTGGATCGTATAATGTACACAATAATAAGGATGAGGACAATAACTTGAATCGACAGAATGCCAAAAGAGCGATGATAAAAAATGAATACAGAAAGTCGAAAAAATTATCACGTTATAGTGCTGCAACAAAGAATTTAATACCATTTAGAAGGCGAGTAGAATCAGAAACAGATAATGCTTCAGTCGACAATGCTGGTTTATGCTCGACACTCTTCTCTTCATGGCTAACGAAATATTTATGGAGAGCTTATCGTGATAATGGATTAACTGATTTACCCAAGTCGTCGCCTTCTGATTGTTGCGATTACAATGTGCAGAGGCTTGAAGCACTTTGGAATGAGGAAGTAGTGAGAAATGGTTTGAGTGGGGCATCGTTTTCACGCGTCACGTGGAAATTTATAAGAACTAGAACGCTCATGGCCATGCTTATCACATCAATCTCCATTGTATTTGGATTTATTGGATCTGCTGTTGTTATGAGAAAAATGCTTGAATTAATTGAATCATCAGATGCAACTGTAACAAGTGGCATTGCCTTGGTGTTACTACTATTTTTAATGGATGGATTGAAGGTATTATTGCAGTGTTGGGCATGGATTATAAGTTACAGAACTGCTCAGAGATTCAAGGCTGCATTTATTGGCACTATGTATAGGAAACTCATTAGAACAAGTAATCTTGGAAACAAAGATTCGGGAAAAGTGAGATAATGAGAAAATTTTTCGTAAAAAATTCATCGTTATAATTAAAATAATAATCAAGTTGATAAAAATTTGACACATTTTTTTTTTCTCTATAAATCACTTGACTATTATTTTATTATTAATTTATAAATTATTTATTATTATTTGACACCTACTGGTAATTTCAGTTCATTAATATGATGTCGACTGACGGCCAGCAGGTTTATGATTTATGCCTTTATTCACCACCTTTCTGCATAAGTCCAGTCGTCACGATTCTGATTGTCATTTATATTCTATGTATTCTGAGCCCTATGGCACTCGTGGGATTTCTTTTCTTTCTATTGTTCTATCCATTTCAGGTAATTACGAGAAACCATTACTATATAGCATTATATACCATTGATTTATGTTATATTTATGGATTAATTAATTATAATTATATGACAATTTAGTATTGCATCTCTCGTCTTATTGGGTACTTAAAAAGCAAAAGTGTCAAGGCCTCAGATGATCGAATATCAGCTATCAATGAGATTCTCAATTGCATTAAAGTGATTAAAATGTACGCATGGGAGAATCCGTTCAGTGAAAATCTTCTTGGTACGATGATATATATTCTGCACTTTAATTGTCAAAAATTCTTCATTTACTTATTTTTAATTGCTAATTTATTTATTATTGTAGCCATTAGGAGGAAAGAAAAAGTATTGTTGGAAAAAATGACAATGGCACGAAGCTATGGCTCTGCATTATCAGTTACTATTACCTTGATATCTGCCATCGTTACTTTCTTGGGTCATGTGGCTGGCGGAAATAATTTAACTTCAGCTCAGGTAATGTCCAACATAATAGCTCAAAGCATTAAAATTTCAACTCGTGGAAAAATGATGATAATAATTTTGAGCCCTTCTCTTTCATTGTTATAAAAAATTATCCTTGGGATTATTGAAAATTTCAGGCTTTTCCGGTGTTAATTATATACGGAAATCATTTGAAACATGTCCTCAGTAGCGTTCGAAATGGTACAACACATTTGATCAATTCTAGTATAGCCTGTAAACGAATCAAGGTTTTATTAATCATTTACTTTATAAAAAAAAATCTTTTTTTCCTTATTGTTAAATTGCAGTCATTTGGTGTAGTGGGAACATAGTGGTTGTTGTGTCTACTAAAAAAATTAATAAAATTCGCATTGTTGCAAAATTTTATTGAAAAATCCACCCTTGATCGTTTATTTTCAGGCATTTCCATTCGTATTGATGTTTAATACGATGATAAGACACATGATTGCCTTCTTCGAGGTTGGCACGTCTACACTCGTCAATTCAAGAATATCATTCGCTAGAATGAAGGTGTTTGTTCAAATAATTAATCATATTATTCTCTCCTATAACATACATTTGTTTATTTGAAAAAAAAAAAAAAGAAAAAAAAATACCGCTGCATCAAGAGCAAGTCTCGTCGGTACTTATTAAAACAACACAGGTGATGTCCAATTGTAAGGATTAGTTGATTAATATCAACACATATCTCGTCTTGTATCACAAATCATGGAAATAAATCAGTGCTTCCTTAGTGTCTTAATGCTTAATGCTTAATGCTTGTTAGTTCATTCATTCATTCATTCATTTATTTATTTATTACTGTTTTTTTTTCTTCATAAAATGCATCAAGTGCTTACTCTGTGCATGGATGCTCAACAATTCTTGCCCTTATCCACAATAATTAATTACATTTCACAGAGTGTCCTCAGTATGGCAGAAAATCATTGTCCTATTCACAAGCCAATTGTGAAAAATCAAGCCGTATCGATTATCAATGGAACTTTCAGTTGTGAAGTTGATGTTGGAAATTTAGACTGTGAAAGTGGAAAGAACAAGTAATTGATATAAATGTATTTTCAATATATGAAAAATGATCTCTATATACATATATTATTATATGATAAAGAAAAATAATGATATTTGAAATGATGACAGAAAAAAATCATGGATGAAGAAAGAACGGGATACTGATAATGATGATGTACAAATTGCATTGATACCAAAACGCATTGAAGTACTAAGTGACATAACGTTTGAAGCCACAAAGAAGAAATTGATTGGAATATGCGGTAATGTGGGAAGTGGTAAAAGCAGTTTATTAAAAGCTGCCTTGGGCCAATTGCGTATAACAACGGGGAAACTATCTAGGGACGGAAGTTGCGCATACGTTAGCCAACAGGCATGGATACTGAATACAACTTTTAAAGAGAATATTATTTTTGGTAATACGTTCGACGCACAAAGGTATCATGCTGCTGTTGTATTATGTGAACTTGAAGAGGATTTGGATATGTTGCCAGCAGCTGATGAAACTGAGATTGGCGAGAGAGGAGTCAATTTGTCGGGGGGACAGAAGCAAAGGATTGCCCTTGCACGAGCTTTCTATGCTAATCGGTAATTATAATTTAATATGCTTTTATATTTTTAATAATAATAATGAAAATCATCATCATTTTCAGTGATATATATTTCCTTGATGATCCTCTGAGCGCTGTAGACGTTAATGTCGGAAAATACATATTTGAAAATTTAATTCTCCGCGCTCTCAGAGAAAAAACAATAATTTTCGTGACTCATCAGATATCATATTTAAATCGTTGCGATGAAATTTATATGCTGAATAATGGAAGAATCGTTGAGTTTGGCACTCACATGCAATTGATGCAAGCTGGAAAAGAATACGCCGCAATGGTAAAAAGTATGACAATCAATCACAATCGCTGCTCACTTGGGGGTGAAGAAGAAGAAGAAGAAGAAAAAGAAGAAAAAGAAGAAAAAGAAGAAAAAGAAGGAGAGAAGGAGATAGAAAGAGGAGATGAAGATAAACATGGGAAAAAAAAGGGGAGGATAAATGAATTAGAATTGAATGAAAAGTTGAAGAAAAAAAATACAGCATCTTCTCTCACATTGAATCGAGTTGAAGGAAAGAAAAGAGAAATTTCAAAGGATAATGCCATGTTGACCAAAGCCGAAATCAAGGGAGAAGGTTCTATAAAGCTCCACACATACAGAAATTATATAAAAGCAGTTGGTGGATACACAGTTTCATTATTCGTCGTACTTGTAGTATTTTTAAATGTCGCTGCATCAACATTTAGCAGTTGGTGGTTAGCTAATTGGATAAAAGCCGGCGGCGGAGGGGCAAACATCACCATCAACAATAATGAAACAATAATATCACACAATATAATAGACAATCCGAATTTAACATTCTATGAGTCTGTGTATGGAGCATGTTTTATGGCTATTATCATAATGGGTTTTATTCGTGGATTCGTCGTAACACAGACAACACTGAGGGCTTCAACGAAATTGCACAATAAGCTATTCAAAAGAATCCTCAGTGCTTCAGTAGAATTCTTTGAAATAACACCACGAGGTCGCTTACAGAACATATTCACTAGGGACATCGATGAACTTGACATTCATCTTCCCTTGGCCATCGAGTATCTTTTGAATAATCTAATACACGGTCCACTGCACATTTTAATAATCTGTGCCGTATATCCATATTTATCATTTGTCTTTATATTCTTGATGATTGGATTTTATTACATTACAAAAATATTTAGGACTGTATTGAGAGATATACAGCGCGTAGAGAGTGCTTCACGAGCCCCAATTCTCAGTCATGCAACAGCAACATTACAAGGATTAGATACAATTCATGCTTTTGAAAAGGAGTACGAATTCATTGAGGCTTTTTATAATAAAGTAGATATCAATGGTTCTTCCAATTTGTTGAATAATATTGCAATGAGATGGTCAACGATACGTTTTGATATTCTCACTGTGACAGCGTATGCTTCCACAGGTCTGACGATGATTCTCTTCAAGGATCAAGTGTCTTCCGCAATGGCAGGACTCGCTTTATCATTTTGTGGACAAATGACTGGTTTCATTCAGTATACTATAAGGACAATGTATCAGACGGAAATGAAATTCATTTCAGTAGAGAGAATTGGCAATTATTTGGATTCTCTGAAAAGTGAAGATGATAATACTAAAGAATTGGCGAGTGACAATGGCTTATTGCAAAACGGCGATGATGATGATGATCAGTGGCCGCCGCCGCCGCCGCCGCCGCCGACGATGGGAGCCATTGAGTTTGATAATGTTGAATTGAGGTACAGGGATAATTTGCCGCCAGTATTGGAGGGAGTTTCATTTATAATTCAAGCTGGTGAGAAAGTGGGAATTGCTGGACGTACTGGTTCTGGCAAGAGTTCCATCATAGCTGCCCTTTTTAGGATCGTAGAATTATCTGGAGGCTGTATTAAAATAGGAAATGTCGATATTTCGACAGTCCATTTGCATCAATTGAGAAGTCAATTATCCATTATCCCTCAAGATCCAATGATTTTCAGTGGAACAATTAGATTTAATCTGGATCCATTCAAGTGCAAAAGTGATGATGAGTTGTGGATAGCACTTGAGAGTACCAAATTGAAAGATAAAATTTTTTCCATGCCAGGACAATTGAGTGCTCCAATTGATTCGAGTGCAACGGGTTTGAGTATGGGAGAGCGTCAATTACTATGCCTCGCCAGAGCTATCCTTCGAAGAAATGAGGTTTTCTTATTTATTTCCATTTTATTTCATGATATAATCTCATTACTGTTTATTCATCACAATACTTTTCATTTATTAGATTATAATTTTGGACGAAGCTACAGCCTGCGTGGATCCACGGACGGAGGCTATTGTACAGAGGACTATCCAACAAGAATTTTCACATTGTACAATTTTAACCATTGCCCACAGACTGCAAACAATTCTTTCCTGCGATAGGATCCTTGTTATGGATGCTGGAAGTATTGTAGAAATGGGAACTCCTAGTGATCTACTCAATAATTCAAACTCTATATTTTCAAATATGCTGGCAACTGCCAAAAAACGCTCCCAATAATCATACAGACATTACAGACATTACAGACATTATTATTTTTAATATTAATATACTTTCAAATAATTCATTTTTCTATTACTTATATTCATTATAATTGAAATAAGAGCAAAATTTTTTGAAAATCTAAACTAAATTCTACCAAAGAATTTAGAAGTAACCTCCTCGATTCCACGATTTCGTCAGTTTGGGGTGGGGAGAGTGGGGGAGTGGGGGAGCACAAGTGGGCTATATATACGGCTGTGGTGGTTAGGTTATGTACACAAGAACCACAAGAAGCACTGTATATATATATGTACACAGTAGTATATTTGGCATTTGTTTTGTAAACGTTGATAAATGATATGAGGGGACTTGTTTTTTTTTTCCAAATTTTTTTTACCACAAACGAAATACAATTGAGCAAAGTGTCTCTTTTCCACATTTGTATAGTGTGGACAGTTGAATAAGTTAACCCTCGGAAAGAAACAATTCATTGAAAAAAAATTGTTACACGAAAAATGGCTAAAAATACAATACCTTTGGAAGAAGGACCAATGTCCCCAGATGTTTTCTCCGATCCTGAGACACAAGAGTGTTCCAGCATTCCACTATTGGACGAATGTATCGTATTAATTTTTTCTATAAAAAGTTGTGTGTCTATATAGCTATATAGATATATAACAAGCTGTTTTTTTTTCTTCCTGCTACTTTCATCAGCCTATACAAGTTCAACAAGTGATAGTAGAGAGCCAGAGCCTTCAGTGCACGAGCCAGAATGGAGAGGAATAAGTATAGATGAGATTCAGAAAGGTCTGGGAGCCTTTGGTTTTCAACAGCATCCTCCAATCTCTCCATCACCAACTCACACTGTATTATTTCAATTACCTCTTGAGAATCGAGGGCCGCCGAGGCCCTATCAAATACACGGAGCTGATAAATGGAGTGTTGGATATGTCAGAATGCCCAATTCTCCTCACAGTCTGTATCCTATTGAACATGGGGTTGATAAACCTCGTGAATTTCGGATGAGATGGGAAATTATTCAGGAATCATTATTACAAAGTTTCATGTCCAGTACACAATTGGAGGCAGCTATATTGTCTTATAATAATAATTATGCTGATCGATGGGATTTTTGTGCTCTTCATTATTTCTTCTCTGACGTTATTGATGAAGAGGAGACTGAAATATTCTTCAAGACATTGCTCCCAAAGATGATACAATTGGCACTGCAACTTCCAACAATTGTCACGGGTCCAATACCACTATTGAAAAAACACACAAATTATTCAATTAGTATGAGTCAACTTCAAGTGGCATCTCTCCTGGCTAATGCGTTCTTCTGCACATTTCCAAGACGCAATTCCAATAATCCACAATCAGAATATGCCCTGTATCCTCACATCAATTTAAATAATCTATTTGCCTGCTATAACGAAGCCAGACCAAATAGATCAGCAGCAGTAGCCGAGAAATTAAAGTGTCTGTTTCATTATTTTCGACGAGTTACAACAACAGGTAACATTCACATGAATTTTTAGGAATTAATTTAATTATTAAAAATTTCATCTTTTATATTTTCATTGCTCCACAATTGATAAGCTAGGCTGAATTGAGTTGTATTTGTTTTTTGATAGAGTAGCTCCAGAAGGGACAATCACAATTCAACGTCACTACATTCCAAAAAAAGACTGCCCAAGATGGGATAAATTGCACAATTTATTACCAGCACTGCACATAACTAGTAAAGGAACAATAGAAACTGAAGGGGCTGGACTTCTTCAGGTTGACTTTGCCAATAGGTAAGCCATGACAATGATAATAAATCATCAATATTTGAGCTTATCTAAGGAAGAATTTTGTTGTTTTTTCCCCAGATATGTCGGCGGTGGAGTGTTGAACTGGGGCTGCGTTCAAGAGGAAATTCGTTTTGTCATATGTCCAGAGCTCATTGTGACAATGCTCATTACCGAAGCACTTGATGACACGGAAGCTCTCATTGTCACTGGCATTGAACGGTATAGCAGGTACGAGGGTTACAGTAGTAGTTTCAAATGGGCTGGAAATTTTGTCGATGAAACACCGAGGGATACTAGTGGCCGACGAAGAACGTCAATTGTTGCCATCGATGCTCTTTATTTCACACAGGCAGATTCACAATTCAATATGAAGAATATTATTCGAGAGTTGAATAAGGTTAGCATTATCTTTTTATGTTGTTCATAACTCTCGCAATGCTTATTGAATAATAATAGTGAGAGAGCCTAGGCCACTTTTAAATATTGTTTTGAAATTGTTTTCCAAGTACTCTAATTGTAGTATGATATTTTCATCTTATATTCAAGGCTTATGTTGGCTTCAGCACATCTGAAATGGATAAAAACCATCTCCCAGCAATAGCAACAGGAAATTGGGGATGTGGAGCTTTTCGGGGGAATCCAAAGCTCAAAGTAGTGATCCAACTGATGGCAGCTGCTGCAGCAGGACGATCAATGGTTTATTTCACATTTGGTGATGCTAATCTGCGAGACAGTGTTGGTGAAATGTATTGGCATCTTCGGGATCGCAATATTGACATTTGTGAGTGTAATTTTCTTTTTGCTTGCTTTTGTTGTTGTTGTTTTTGGCCTTTTTCTGTCAAATCTTAATTATCATTTCATTGTTTCAATTGATTTTCAGCTCGACTATTTTCACTACTGCGTCAATACGAGGCTGAATCAACAACTGATCATTCGGATTTTTACCCTTTTTTATTTAATCGAAGTAAAATAAAACCATTAACCAATTATTTTTCACTTGTTAAGTCTTCAAACGATGAAAATACCAATGACAAAATAATTAATTCTACAAAGAGTTTTGTCCAGGCAAAAGTTAGGGATAGATTGAGTTCAGTCCACAAAACTAAATTGTCGGATGAAGAAGAAGAAGAGGAGAGAATTAGGAATATGTTAGAAGAATATACAGATGATACTGCTGACAAGGATGCACCAGAGGAATCCTGTTTCAAGAGGAGGCACACGTATTCTTTACAGCTCATGAAAGAAAAGACTGAATTCCAATCAATGGTGGAAGGAAAGGACGAATTGTACACAGAAATTCTGAAAGAGATGCCAGATGCATGCACAGATGAAGGAGGCAGGATAAAAAGGCGAACATCACCATTAGATTTATTAGTATCCAGCCACGAAATAAAAAATACAACTTCCAATAATCATGAATCAAACATTAATAGATCCAAATGCCCAGGTAAATATTCAACACTTGGGAAAGGTCAGAGAAAAATATCAGACTTCTTTTCATTGAAAACATCCTTGTTATAAAACGTTGAGCATACAATGTCATGATATGATTGGATAAATCCATAATTCGATAATGACAATTTACCTTTGTACATAGTATTAAGAAATATTATAGGAATAGAAAAATAAAAAATAAATGTTTGCATTCACATCGTTTTATCTTTGTGCTCGAGAATCCAGAAATGTTTTTTCACATTTGGTAATGAAATTCGCTCATGACTGTGTTTCTTGATCAACTGGAAGGAAAAAAAAAAGTTAAAAACAATCATAAATGCAATGTTGATAAATTTTTATCTTATCAAATGGACTGGTTTTCTCTTGTGATGATTTAATTTTACCTTTGAAATGAGATCTTTAGCGCCAGTAGTAACATAATGTGGCCAATGAATATTAACAGTCTTAATTTTACTATAAGTCTCTTGCTGAGATTCACTCAGGAATGGTGGTTTACCAACCAAGAATTCATAGCACAAAATGCCCAGACACCAGTGGTCAACGTAAATACTGTACGTCTGCCCTTGGACCATTTCAGGAGGAAGATAGTCTAATGTTCCACATAAAGTAGTTCGTCTATGTAAAAAAAAAAACAGTCAATTATTAACAATTTAAATAGCCACAGCCAAATGACAACTTACTTTGATGATGGAGCATGCACAGACCATCCAAAGTCTGCAAGTTTGATGTTTCCATTGGAATCTAGCAGCAAATTCTCAGGTTTTATGTCTCTATGAATAACGTTGTTTTTATGACAGTAGTCAAGAGCGTCAGCCACTTGGTAAGTATATTTGGCAGCTCTGGAATAATGTAAAATTTAATCTAACGTATTCTATTTGATATAAAAGGCAATTTTTTCATAAATCGCTGGAATAATTGTCTACTTGAGCAATAGCGCATAAATTTTCATAATAATACGAGGGTTTCTCTTGACACTATTATTATAGTAAGGGTTACTTGTACTTACAAATGCTGATTGAATCTTTCCCCAGGTTGTCTCTTGAGTTCTTTATAGAGTTCTCCCCTAGCAGCAAATTCGAGGACTAGGAAAATTTTCTTATCGTCATGAAAATACGTCAACAATTGCAAAATGTGAGGATGTCTCAAGTGTGATTGAATTTCTATTTCACGTAGTGCTTGTTTCTCAACACGTCCCTGTATGAGCTCCTTCTTGTACAGAGTTTTCAATGCCACCATATAATGAGTGCTCTTCTCTCTGGCTAAAAAAACTCTGCCAAACTTTCCTCTGCCTAGAGGTGCTCCTAATTCGAAATCATTATAACTCCATCGATATCTAGGAAATGAAAAATTCATAAATTATTTCATGTAGGTACGCTATAGATTTATAAACTGTTGAATTGGAGAGGTGAGAATTACCTGCCATTAGAACCTTCAATATGTTCCTGCATAGCGGCGATACTCTCTGCTACTCCATTTTGATGCTCCAAAGGTACGTTATTGGGGACTCGATATTTTCCCCCCATATTTAGCATTTTATTCTTTTCTTTTCGCAATTTCAAAGAAATGAAGTAGTTAATGATATCCCGATATAATCACTATATACTGAAAAAGTCACACAATTTGTCCGATATTATATTTATCACAGATACATATGTGGTGGTCCTTTTATAAGTAGTCTACAGCACCAGTGTTGTCAATAAAATTGGAGTAAAACTGCCGAAATATTTTTAGTTTTTAGATCGATAAAACATTCACTTTGTTACACCAAAGCGCAGTGGATGGGGATGCCTCGAACGTGTTCCTCGCTAACGGACAAAAAATGATATGTTTTTGAATATCTCCTAAAGTGACTGACGCTCCCTCTGCAATGATAATGGCTCATCCTCATGTGGCGGCAATTGTTTTTTATAAGTATACACGTTTTTATGGGAAAAAAAAGAGGGAAGGTTATCTTGAATTTAAAATCATATAAGAAACATAATTAGTACTGCATACATAATTATCTATAAATTGCTAAATAATATTGCATTAAATAATCATGTCATCGGTGAAATGAAACGGTGTATTTTTTTCATTTTTAAGAAAGAATTCAAATTGTTGTTTATTATAACAAATAATTTCTTCACTTGAGATTTGATAAAATGTCCAATTCGGTGCTTACATAGGAAAAAAAATTATCCCTCATTTAAACTCCTAAATGTTAACATGAACATGCATCCTAAAATCCCTTCTCAAAGTGAAATTCGAAATTGTTTTGGGCCGACATTGGCAGAGACCTTTATGGAGTTGAGCGATCCACCTATAAGAACATTCGTGGAGGTTACTCCACCACTAAAAGTAAAAGGTCCAGCTGAGCATTTGTGGCATACACCTAGTGATCAACTAATTAAAAAAAACTCTCTGAAACTACCAATGACCAGTTCAATGACACAAGCAGCTACTCATAGAGGAATTATAGGTAATTATCAAACTATTCTCATAACATTTTATTAATAATATATGGGCTCTTTTTATATTAGGATTGGGTGAAAAAGCTTTGAGGCAATTCCAAGTTGATGTAGAAAAAAGAGTACGAGAATCTTTATTTATTGAAATAAAAAATATCCATTTACTTTTTGAGGCGGAGCAACGACATGTGACAAATACTCGTATTAAAAAAATTGAAGATGAATGCACTTGGCGAACCAAGTTTCTAATCAAGGAATATGATAAAAAATTAGAGGTTACTATAATCACTTATTTTTTTATTGAAAAAGTTGTATATATATATATATATCAGCAGGATGTGCCGGGGAATTTAGTGATGGATCATACATTATCCATCGGGATTTAAAAGAAATTTTTGGAAATTTTTATATATGATTCTTTTCTGTTGACAGAAAACTCTGGACGATGTTATAACTAGATATAATGAAATTTTACAAAAAGCTCTAGTGCAAACTCGAATGAGCGTAACACTTGAAATGATGAAAAAAATGCGAAAAGAAGTGGAGTTTATTGTCACTGATTTGAATGCCGATTACGACAGAAGATGCTCTCTACAAAGACAAAATATGATTGCTGATTTCAATGTTATGATTCGGTAATATATGGATATCAATTGATCAGTTGTTATTATGATTTATAAAATGAGCATCTGTAAATTCCTACTTTTTGTTGACATTAACTGTTCATTTATTATGCAAACAAGTGATTTTAGGGTAGAAAATGTCGTCACACATATATTTTTATTGTATAATAGAGTGTGAATGACCAACAAGAACATTCTCTTGATATTTTTTCTTCAAAACACTCATTATCGACTACACTATTCAGTGTTAGATAATAGGTGTAAAAAAGTGACTTGTTCTATTACCTACGCTTTACCTCTTTTTTCATTGAATTTCGTTCATCAATATCATTTCATTCCCATTGGATTTTTGTGTAGAAAAGAACGAGTAAAGTTGAAAGACATGCTAAGAATATGCGAGAAGAAAAAAGTTGAATCTTTAGAAAGAATTCGAGTGAAAGTGGAGAATGAATTTCAGGAGAGGGCAGAGAAACTCGTTGGCTGTGAAAAATACCGTTGTAATGATGAAAAACGAAAGATTTGTGAAAATTTGGAGGTACAAAGTTTATCTGCATTTGAATTGACGATTTATTAATAATCAAGTAAATATGTTTCTATTTTTAAAGAAAATAATGCTCTCACTACAAAAGTTGCTTGATAAAACGAATGAGGAAATTGCAAATGTGAAAGGAAACCCTAGCATCATCATTTCTCCAAATAATTCTATCTGGAAATGGAGAATAAAGCACATTCTGCAGGCATTTCGGAAGTTGATGAAATTTTTTCTGAATACTGCACCAGACCGGGCAAATTCAGTGCTTCCACGGCGAGATTCCTTGTTGCAATTTCCAAATGACGATGACGATTCAATTGAATTAATCAATTAGAGTTATATGAATTTCATGATTTTATCTACTCGTGGAAAATAAAAAATTATCGGGGAGAAAGGGTATATCAATATAATGAGATTCAACTGTCGTTTATTAGACTCATATATAATATTTAAAAGAACATTGAAATATGTTGCTCAAATACGGGGAATATCAATTTTAAAATGTCCTTAATCCATTGCTAATGGTCAAACAACGTAATAAATTTGAACAAATGATAATAGTGACTCCATGGATATTCTAAATCATAAATTTATTGTCCTTGATAAAGTCATGGGTCATCCATTTATCTTCCGTATTCATGACGGTCATTTTGCACCTATATAGATGGTTTGGTTACGGAATAGTATAATTCGTAACGAGTGCAAAAAGTGTTTTTTGGCAAGTGGGAGGTTTATAGCACGAGCCGAAGGCGAGTGATATAATCCCACGAGCTAAAAAACATTTTTTCACGAGTTACGAACAATATTTTTCATCACAATGTGGCGGAAATTGCGTGCCTAAAAGTCCACTTTTCGTCACAGCGTGATGAAAATTACTATTTTACTCTTTTAACGGTCACAAAAAATCTGTTTAATATTGATATTAAGGAAATGAGGTGTCATAATCCTCATAGGCATCGTGCAATACTTAATCAAAGAATGACAATGAATAAATCAGAGTTTATTATCGTATACTATTATAAATTCTAGACGTATATATCTATATTTAAATAAGAGAGAGAGAGAGAGAGAGAGAGAGAGAGAGAGAGAGAGAGAGAGAGAGAGAGAGAGTACAATAATCAAAATATAACGCAACTCCTCCTGCGCAACTCCTAGGTGCACATTCATCATGGCGGCCGGCCATTGGCAGACGGTGGAGGTTTTG